AAATTGCAACCGCAGCCTGCAGGTTGAACACATGCGCACAAGACAGATTGGCGAACAGAAAAGCCTAGGTCGATGTAAGACGTGGGTCGGTCCCAAGTCCTTTCGTGTCTTGGAGACATCCGCACATACTTAAAATATCCTTGTAGCACAAGCAGTGTAGGGTGCGACAATAAAAAAAAATTGACATCAATTTTCTCATTTTATACATCAAGGTTTGATTTGTACTGCACTAATGTAACCACATAAAATACTTAGTCAAAAGCCATAGTAGTGTATGTAGGATTTTAGCTTTGGCATTTTTGCGTCTTTACTTTTTTTTGTTCCAATAATCTAAGTTGGAAATATTTGGAAAGAAAATTCAGACTTAATCCAATTCATTTTTCAGATAAAAATGGTCGGAATCAGTTTGTAGAATTACATCTAATAATAATCTAGTGACTATGATAATTACATGGCTCGAGAAGAAGTGAATACAAACAATACAAGATCCAAGTTATTGACCATATTCATAATTTGGATATGGGAAATGATTTGAAGATGATATTACATGATCATAACATACACGATTGCTATCCTTCGTAGCTTGGGCTGGCACTAACAGAAGAGGTCAGGAAAAATTCACTAATTACTTTAATAGAAGCTACGTAATGAAAGGATTCCTGATAATTTTTGATCATTGACACTTCACTAACGTTATCTGTGTAGCTTTCATAAAATTCGTACGTAGCACTTGTAATTGCAAATTTTAGTTTATACAAAATTATTTAAAAAAATGGTTGGACGAAAAATTTTTTACTTGGGCAGATATTACTTTGTCTGGCCGGGATTAAGGCTTTTTTATTGAATGTTATTCTAACATCTCCATAACTTCGATAGTAACGCACATACTAAGACAGGTCGTTAGTCATCCAATTCTAAATTTTTCAGATGAAAATATATTCTTCTTCTTAAAGATAAATATTGGAATACAATGACATTCATTACGTTTTCGTTATTACCCGAATTAGTTAGTTGTTGTCCGTCAAACATTATCTGGCTTTATCGTTTAATTACTAATCATTTCTATTCCTATTAACTAAAAATTGCTTTTTATAGAAAATTTATCTTAGTTGATACATTTTCTATCATCTTATCCTCTTTTTTTTTCAACTTATTTACTTAATCCGTAATGATTACATTCCGCGCATTAATTATTTGTTCTTGTGTTTTATTAGTGATATTTTCATTATTAATGATCCTGCCTCCATCGAGTAACTTCCGTCCGTTATTTGCTTTCATTTTTTATCATTTTTAGTATACTTGTCATTATCCGTTGCCGATTGTTTTGTACTGAATGTATATGTTCTCTTATCCGTGATATATTTGTCATCGGTTTTCATCATTATGTATGTGTGTTATTATCCAGTCATTATCGTTTTTTCTTTTATGCATTTGTTACTGATTACCATCCGTTCGTTATCTGGTTTCGTTTTCCAACACTTCCGGCATACTTACCATCATTCCTTATTCAATGTTATGTGTTCCCTTTTATCCAAGGAATAACTTCCTTATGGTTTCTTACAACTTCTTCATTATGTTATATTCATTCTCAATATATTACTAAGGTATTTGTTCCTGATTAGCATTCTTTTATTTATTTATCATTATTCGTTAGTCATTGCGTGGTTTCTCGTATCGGTCACATATCTTCCATCCGGGTCTTATATAATTTCTTCATTATGTTATATTCAGTATCAATACATGGTTACTGATTACTTTCTGCAAGTTGTTGTTCTTGTCATATGCTTAATCTTATTTTAAAAGTTGAGTTCTTATCCGTAATATACATTCATCTTATCCTTTCTTATGCAACCTTGATTGAGCTTGTTTTTATTGAAATACAGATTTTATTCGCAATTAAGCAAGAAAAACATTTCATTTTCCTTAGGCTCCTTACAGGACATGTAAATTTTCGCAGCTTTTCGATTTTGATATATCGGTTAAACAAATTTTCTGTAAAATTTCCTTAGCCAAATGAAGAGACATATGAGTACGTGAAGGTTTAAGTTTAGTTGAATTTGCTTTCTTTTCCCGCGATTCTTTTAAGCGTATCTGTAGTGCAACATAAGCTACAATTATTGATGTACATTAACATTCATAAACAAGTTTGCAGTTGTATACCTGCTTCAGTATGCCAACAAGTAACTCGTCGACGTTATGTTGTATTCCGCTGGACGTTTCAATAAACTTAGCATCACGTGAGGCGGCTAAAGATTTACCATCTAACCGGAGCATATGCATATAATGTAAAAATGTTCATACACCGAAAAAAATGTTATTAAAATTGTTTATCAATCACTTTGCATAAATTCAGATAGCTGTTCATAAGTGCTCCCTCCCATGCTAATCTACGCAGGTTTGGCCTTGTGGGCTAAGGCGAGGCAAAAAGCGGCGACGACGAAAGGAAAGTAGGCTCGCCTGAACGCACTTAGGCTATCGAATATCAACAAATTAAAACCGGAAAATCTTAGGAGTCACCTAGAGGTATTAAAAAACTTCGTGGACGAATCTTTTGTCAAGATGCCGGACCATTACGCTGTAAAGCTAGTACTGTCCCATCGGTTCAGGATGATTTTATCGCCTGGGTCGGGCTGGGATGGGCAAGCTTTTCAACACGGCATGGCAACAAGGACGGTACACCGACAGTTCAAAATTGCAAAACGGCAGAACTGGGACTGGGGTTTGTGGCCCGAGTTTTCAGAAGGCCATACCAATTGGACACAGTCCCTCCATAGTCTCTCAATACTTAATAAGGCAGTGCAGGAGACAGCGGGTCTGCATTTACTCCGACAGCCAAGGTGGCCTAAAGTTCCGGAAAGGATTGATAATATCCAGGCTTATGTTGGAATGCCTTCAAACAGTGAATTAGCTAGGCGGGCACAATCAAGTGCACCTAATATGGGTGTCTGGGCATTCAGGTGTTGAGGGCAGCGAAAGGACTGACTGTATTGGCGAAAGGGAAACCCGAGGGGCTAGATCCCGAACATTTCTGAGGCGCACAAAGCAGTCATCTTAACAGGCGTGCATCGCGATGGGCACATGATAAATCGGATTGCCACTCGAAGCAATGTACCGGACAACCGCAGGCGAAAAGACTTATAATGGCACATCAACTACGGGAACTAAAAAGAAGCGACCCACGTTTAGTCACCGGCTTTTACACGGGTAATTATTCCCTTAGGTATTGTCTGAAAAACATGGGCATGTTCGATAACAGCTCACACAGATTGTACTAAGGGAGGAGTGAAACGTCCCATCATAATTAATAATAATTGTTTAAATGTATTTTTTTCCTCTACAGTTTTTTATTAGCAATAGGAAATGTAATGTTTCAGCTTAGGAAGGGTCCATTTTCAATCATTGCTTTCCACTTATGTGATATCATTTGCACTTTCAAGTTGTTAAGTCATTTAAAGTTGTTAAAAGTCCAAAATTTGTTCGATTAAAACGGGGTTCTCTCTCTTTAGGCACTGTGGGTGTTTGTGTGTCGGCCCATAAAATATTTTCTTCATCTTCAATTTCAAAGTTTGAAAACATAAAATCTCCGAAGGAGTGGACCTAAACCTAATGATCAAAGCTATACCCCGTACCGAAATTTTTTTCAAATCAAAGGCTTAGTTAATACGCAAAAAACCCTGAAACTCAAATACTTGTAAAAAAATGCAACGATGTTGTAAAGGTTGTTCTAAAGGTTATAGCTTAGTCCATTAGAATAACGGCTTCTTTCTCATCACGGTAGTTTTCCCCATCAAAAAGCACTCAGCAAATGACATTCGGATTTTCCACTGTATTAAAAATTACAAAACAACACTGTCACAATGCCATATATGACGAGAAAAAAGTCAGATGGGCCCGTCAACAATGATGCCATGTATGTGTCAGACAGAAGACGCATTGAGTGATTCGTTATTACCTTGAAGATTGATAAAAAGTTGGACTTTCTCCTAAATGTATTCGAACGAGAAGATCAGCTGTCTTCGGATAAGCTTACAGGAAATAATATGCGGTCATTAAAGTGTTAATGAAAAACTCCACATTTATCTTTTCATAGATTTGGATAGTTTTGATCTTATGAAAAAAAAAAACAAATAAATACCTTGAGAGCTTATAACCCGCGCCCGTGCCAAGTCAGCTTTATTTCCCACTAATATTACTGCTTTGTCTTTTGGATAGCTTTCTTGCCACAAATAATTAATAGTTTCTTCGGCTTTCCGAAATGATGTCTTGTCGACCACAGAGAATACCACTACGCAACCATGCGGCTCATAGGTAGACAAGCAATTCTCAACCTACGTAGATAATTAAGGAATAAATGTCTCTTCTTTCTTCTTTGCAAATCTTTTAAATGTGCACGACTTACGCTCATCTCAACACTGGGATGATCAACGAAAATCAATTCGGATTCTTCATCGTCCAATAGAACACTTACGGTTTTTTCTCCGAATTCGTCATCTAAAACTCAAATTTGAATTATTCACTAATAACTTTTTCAATGCGATTCTCTACCAATGATCACATTCACTTTTAAATCTATGCGTTCAAACGTTACGTGAAAATTCACTTACCTAGGCTAGCATCATAAGTATGCATGTATTCTGATGTCATGAATTGATTTACTAAAGCCGTTTTGCCTACACCCGGGTCGCCCAACATGACGATGCGATATCTGGAAGGAAAATCATGTGAGAGACAAACAATAAATTTGAATTTCTATGAGAACAAAGATTTTTACCTTCGAGGCGGTATTGGTTCCAAATTTTCAGAGACATCTTCTTCAGGTGTGAGTGGCGTTGAATCAACATTCGCATAACCAGCACCGCAACATGAACTTTCGAATGGTGATCTACCACTGGCTCTGACCAGTGGATAAGTAAAAATAATAATAATTGCAGTAATAATAAGATATTGTAAATGCTTACCGGCTATTGTTGGAGTTGATGCTGGTATTGCTACGTGAGTGTCTGGATATAATAGAATCGCCGCAATTAACTACATTGCCTTTGCTTATCGAAAAATGTCTTAAACGATATAAATCGTCACTGGCTCGCGGATTGTACGGACGATCGGGCAAAGAACAAACACGAGGCCTAAAGTGATCGGGCACTAAAATTTGAAACAAAGATTAACTCCTTAAAGCATTAAAAACCAAATAATGCAAAAATAACTTACCCGGGAGTTCTAGAAAATTTGAGGTTCTACGTTGATGGCCGCGATTCGAAGCTTGAAATGCCAAAGGTCCTACATCATCGTTTGATGCTATGGATGTATTGGAGCAAGCACTTTTCATCGACTCTCTTGAACTGCGACGACTGGCTAAATAAGCTAAACCGCCCTTCGAACTGCTACGTCTCCGAGCGGTAAAGCTACCTCCGGGAGATTTTGTAAACCCTTTTCTTGAATTGTATCTGCTTAATTCGTTATCAGTGTCCTGTGTTAAATCACTGGTGGATTTACGATAACGTAACGACACTACACTGTCCGAGCGAGTGCGATCCAAAGTACTATGAGAGCTATGTAGGACTTGATAACCAGGGTTTGACGTTATATTAATGGCATGACGACGTTGACATAAAGATGGTGACGCATGACTTAACTCATTTGAGCTCTGCCTGGTCGAAGTATCTGAATAACTCAGTACAGTTGTTGTGGTACCAGTCGTGCTATATTCAGAATCTACAGATAATTGCATCGTCTCGTTAATGCTAGAATCAGCTTTTTCATAGCCTCTGTTACCATCATGTTCGTCTCGATTTGGTGTTACTGTCATTTCCCATTCCTCTTGCTTTTTAGTTGAGGACTTTTTCAAAGTAAAGCTTCTCTTCGTAGAGTTTCGTCTGTGAGGTTCCACTATTTTCGGAGACATGGGTGCTCTTATAGACGAAGTCCCAAAATAATCATCATCGATATTATCTTTTTCCGGTGAAAAATGTTCATAATATTTGAATTTTTTGTAAACACCGCTGTTAGGTTTAGGACTAATGGGTTCAAAAACGAAATTGCTTTGATTAGTGCGACCTTGCAAGGAGGTAGAGTGATTGCTACCACACAAAATGTTTGAAGGTGAATCAGAGGAATTTTTTCGAGAACTATGTTTACCGGACGTGGGTGTTTGATAGTACGATGGTACAGATTCTAAGTCATCATCACTAAATTCCCTATTGGCATAAGTTGTTGGTTTTTTTGCATTATAAGACTCTTCACTGCAATCATCGTATGGATTATTGGAAGATCTGAGAGCTGCATTATAAGTATTATCGACGTGTACGCGAGAGTCTCTAAAATGTCAATCAATGGAACAATAAAAAAACAAAAAAAAATCATTTCAATAAATTGAAAACGAAATTAAATGAATTGCTTTAAGATAACGAAAGAGAGGTAGGCGGCAATTTTTCGTTTCATTAAGCGCAGTACAGCTTTACCTCGAAGGTTTTGGTTGCCTGAGAGGTAAAGGTGAAGAACTGGTACGCGTAGGACTCTTTGCAATTATTGCGTTCTGCTTATGACTCTCATCCCAGCTGAAATGATGCTGTTGTTCCATTCTGGGTGGTAAACGGGGAGTGGCCCTTGTGTTGTAGGGTAGGGACATGCTTCTCAATTCTCCACGTATTTCTTTTTATTTTACTTTACAATATAAATTCATGTTTGCCCTCTCAGCGTCAAATTGCTGTAAAAAAAAAAAAAAAAAAAAAAAAAAAAATAAAGCGAAAAAAGAAATGAATAAATAAATATAACATCGACGGAAAAACAAATGCCATATAATAACAAAATATGTGCCACCAGCAATAAGGATTTTATAGTCGGTGGGTTGGCTGCTTAGACTCGTTGGCAACGAAAATTTATGAGTCGCAAGTAAAAATTGTTGCACATTGTTAAGCCATCATCACCATACCTATATATATATATATATATATATATATATGAGTAATAACGGAAAATGAACAGAGCAGCAGCAATTTGTTTTCTCGTATAAATCGTTTATTTTTTATTTGGCTCGCCATTAGCTTGAATATTGAAAATATCAATAAAAGACGTTATTGTATATAAGAGACTTTGAAACATTCGCGAAACTGCAAAGAAGAAGAATCTTAAGTTAAGCGTTTCTTTATTCAGCTTAGTGCTGCTGTTATCTTATGCGACCTTCCAACTTCTTCACAACGCATCCTGTCAAATACATTGAATATGAAGGTATACGTTGAATATAAGAACAATATGACTTTGGCTATAAAAGGATGTGCGAGCGTCGTATTGCTAGGGTTGCTTTACAAAAAAAGCAAATTCTTATTGTAATAAATTATCTTTATTATTCAAGTTAACAAATGCGAAGACCCTTAAGCGATGACTATTCTTCTACAAGTTTTGCGGTTTGATTATCCTCTTCTTTAAAATGGAACTTTGCTGGCTACAACGGCATCATCAGCCTTTCCAGCCTATAAAGAAAATTATCTTAAGTACTTTTCTTCTCCTTTTCTTTGATTCGAAATTTCTTCTCATTATTAAGCGTTAATTAAAGAAATATATGTAAAGTAATATTTCTAAGAAAAATATTTCAAGATATGATTAACCTAGATTTTTAATAATCAACCTAATCAAAATAAAAAGCAGAAGAAGAGAAACGTGCGAATATTTGCTATAACACTTGCCTTGTCATAAAATATCAACGACAACCTAAGAATGGGATTTATGTAGTAACTAGTAATCCATATAACGTCGAGTAAAGAAAGCTATTGACAGAATATATTAGTAGTTGCCTAAGTTTAGTCAGTTGTTCCTCGTTGCTCATCAAAAAGTTTTCTGAATGGAAAGGCACTAAACTGAAGGCAACACAAAGGGCATTGGGAAGCTTTTTGCTAAATTCTGCTTTCAATAATCGTGATGCCATGCAATATAAGGGCGGAAACAATTTCGGAAGATTTTTAATTGAGGAATCGAAAGTTGGAGCTCTAGTCGCCCATCACATGACAGACGTAGCTCTTGAGAGGAGCTCTGCAAATTTACGGAGTATGTCATTTTGATTATTTTTAAATATCGAGCTTCAAAATTAAAAAGATATTAGTTTAAATTTAAGCTACAAAATAGGTAGCCTTCAGCTTCTTGGGATACTGTGGTGTCTGTAGATAAATAACAAAAAAATAACCCATGTAATGCTCCAATAATTTTTGGTGACTCTTAGTCATATGAAAATGTCGTTAAATACCTAGAAGCAATTTCTTTCTTTCTTTATCTAGTTGTGAAAATACCGATGACGTATATCTGTATCTCCCTAGTGGCATCATTTGGATTACTCTCTTTTGCGGTATAGCTACCGTCAAACTTAAGATTAAAATGTGATTGTTACCTGCCGTTAAATGAGTTTAGAAGGTGCAAGAAATGTTAATGCGCAATAATCCCTGAACGGAGATACATGTGTATGTTCACTTTTTTTTTTCATTATATGACTAATCACTCGGGGTGTCGCTTATTCGTGCAAGAAGAAGTAGGGAAACAATCGCAGTCAAGTGAATGTGTGCTCGATGATAAGCCTTTACCGACTAAGCACTCACTAACATAGACTTATTAGTCGCAATTCTTACTTATTCGACTACTCAGGTGGGCAAAACGAGCTATATATGCAAAAAACTAATTAATTTAAAGTGACTGATATAAGGTGTTCAGACAACTTTTATAACCACATAAGCATATAATTCAAACAATAAAAATCTTATAAAAATCTTAAACTATGGCAGAGTTTTCAAGTAGCCACTTGGCAACCGATACCAGATATAGCTGGTTCAGTTTGCGAAACAAAATATGCTCTCAACTTATTAGTTATTTTCACACAAATACAAGATCGGTTGATCGCACTTATCAAGAAGCACTAATTTGATGTTCTCTGGCGAATGTGATATGACGACCTTAACGGGTTAACTATTTCTGCATTAATCAAGCTTTATGAATACTATACAATACAAACCTTCGCTTCTTTAGTGAGAAAAGGGCAAATAGTCGCAATCTATTTTCATACGATGGCAAAGAGACTTTCGTAAGCCATCCCAAATTTCTCAACGCAAAGCGAAGTAACTGTTTTTTGAACTGTTTCTACTGCGTCGAGCTTATATTTGATAATTTTTTTTTTTTTTTACATATTATATATTACTTTTGGAATTAAAGTGAATCACTTGAAATTATAAAATGGGTCATTCGGTGACCCGTGAGCCATAGGTTGCTGACCCCTGCTCTATAATATTAGGCAAAAAAAAAAACCAACTCTACAGATATTTCACAAACAGACATACTTAAATTGGTTCAGAATTTGATGCTGATCAAGAATATATATACTGTTACGAAACTGCCATGTTTGTTATTTGAAACCAAATTCGAAAAAAAGTTACCTGCGTTATGTAGCAAGTGACTGGCGGGACTGGAAAAGATTAACAATATTTGGCAGGACTAAGGGATTAAAAATGTCGCGATAAATTTAGGTAATAGTAACATGTTTGTAACAGAGTATATAAGCAAAATACTTGCGCAAAGCCTGTCGTAAGCTAATGGACATTGAGTTGAGAGAGTCGAGTCAAGAGAGTTGAATTGCAACATTCGAATCAACAAGGTCAGAATGGGAACTCAAGCCCCGATAATACAAGTCCCTGTAAATAATTAGTAATTAGATCTCCTAAGAATTGTACAAAAAATCTAGGATATGCTAAAAATCACAAATCAGTAGTGTGAACTAAATTTCGATAACAAAAAGACGATTTACGTTACAATACTTGATAGGGTTTCTGAAGGCTCAGCTTTGGTATTGAAAAAGCTTTAGCAAAACGAACACAGTACCGTTATAATAACAACCATCTCTACAATGATCTACAACTAATTGCAAAATTCGTATGAGATATGAAGGGGGTATTATGACGTACTCTAAAAAATAAAAAGTCAGATAAGTTTCATCATGAGTATCAGTGTAACAAAAAGAAAAAAAAGTTTTATAATATATTGTTGAAGGCTATGTGTTACAAGTTGAATGCTAAGTGTATATCCATAGGTTAAATAGTCCTTTTTCGAATTTTTTGCGCAAAAACTAATGTTGGATGATTGTGCTGTGATTATACCGTGTCATCAAATGTCGATATAGTGCATCCCATTTTTCAGAACAGTGGGTACTTAATCTTCTTGGTACAACCTATTCTCGGCGGCAGCGGACCAAGAACCTAAGATTACAGTTTGAGATGGTTTTTAGTAAGGCCATGCCTCGTCTATATCTTCTGGATTAATCAATAAACAGATTCATTTGATGCTAGCTCTGTTGAAAATCGACTGAAACCGGTTAAATCTCTTCTCTCTTTGTTTATTAAACAGGAAGGCGGACATTCACTTTACACGGATTTTGATTTCATCACAGACATTTAATTGTGCGCTCCTGTACAAGAATACAAGTAAGTTAAAAATGACTCTTGAATAAAACCGCATTTTAATTGAAACGTTTCTCAATGGATGCGTCACACACGCACTTATCATCATTCATCCCATGTGTAGTTGAGTAGAGCGACTAAAGGTTACAGTTATTACTATTACAATAATCTATCTCCCACACCCAACGAATATTAAAAAAAAACAAAGAAAAACAAATGTTAACCTTTACCAATATGAATGCAATGAACAACGTGTGTCGAAGCATATCACTTGAATTTTGGATTTTTTGAAAATTAGCTTGAAAAACGTCCATCATCCTGCTTTCAGTCCCTGACCGTTTATGATTGTCTGATTATTTATAGGTTTTTGATTTGTTCTGTGTGAATTAAATTAACTTGCTGTGGCACGTGGCACTGCTTTATGAATTCATGCACAAAATCTCATTTTCACTTATAGTGTAACTGGCTTTGCAAATGATTAGCAAAATTACGTACAATTCAGGAATAAAGACGTAATGTGCACAATTTTTCAAGGGAATTATCATCTAACTTAGCTTATTTTTTTTTATTTATTTATTTAATTTTTTGGTGAAATTTATTATTGAACTCGTTCTATTTTGTGGACACTTTCGCAATTTTCTGCTTATCTACTGATTGCAGGCGATATTACAGGTTACCTCATCTAATCTACTTTAGATAAGATACATCAATGTTGCCGTAAGTAAACGGATTAGTTTCGCTTAACAAAATTTTTTTTTTCTTTTTGTCGTGAATCTCAATAAATAGTCTTATGCATGAATCAATATTTTTTTAAACAACGCTGACACTAACATGTGAATATATTATTATAGTCATCCAATTACTGGTTTTGTCATTCTCGTCGCCATACTCGAAACACGATTGTAGATGTAGACGCAAAGGTCGCGTAATGAGTTCAAAAGCCTAAAGGGTAGTAAAAGAAGTGTTAACTGCAGATCCATTTAAATAAAGCAAAATCCATTCGTCCAGTAACCATATAATTTTCTACATTTAAGTGACTCCATTTACTTCCGTATATCTGTCCAAGACAATCAAAGCTATAATAATTAAAATGTGACAATTCAACTGAAATGACTCTTATCGGTCAAGTTTGCATATTATCCAGCATAGGTAATATGAATAAAAATTTTAAATCTTTTGCTACCAAAAAAAAGGTAATATTTGCCTGTAGTGGAATTTTTTATACACATCAACTTTATTGCAGGAAGAGGATCGAAAAAAAAAGAAAATGAGATGATAGTCTATATTATTAGGTGGCCCGACATTTTTAACCAAGTATCGCAGGATAACCTAAAGAATTTGCGTCGAAATTTTCAGTGTATCATGTGTTCTTTCTTGCTTTTAAAAACCAGAAGTATTGTCAGGGCACTTTGCACGATAGTCGCATGCTTTAACAGATCTTTCTACTTTTCGAAGCCAGCTTGCTTGCAAGAACTTTTAATACTTTTATCAAATCTAAATTCTTGCGACTGGTGGCATTTTTGCACCTATGGGGCAGGCATTCTTCGATTGATTGAGAACAGGTTATATAGTTCACTTTATAAAGGCTTTCTTGCAGCCTTGTCAGGTACTGAAATATATCCGTACGCTTTCAAAGCTGGATTTGAAAATTTCTCCGGTTGGCATTCGTTAAGCGACTTGTATGTTTCAGATTAACAAAATATTTCGCTTCATTTTTTGTATTGACTTCAAGTAATGGATTTCCAAGATATCAGGTAAGATGAATGAAAAAAATTGTTTTGCTGAATACTTAGTCAAGTATTCGATACAAAATGAATAAGACTTTAATTTCCTCAGATAACTTAATTGCGCTTCCATCCTAGAGTATTTCCATTAAACATTAAAATACCTAAGCAGCGAAGAAGTATTTACATACCATATATACCATAAAAGAAATTTGTGATTTTTGCTGAAGGAAACGATCGGTGACGTGGAAAAAAAAAAAAAAACAAATTTATTGCTTGATGTAGATGAAAATTTTAGTTATATTTTCATTTCATTTCATTTCTTTCATTTTATATATCCATCGTGTATATAAGTCTATATAAAGTATAAGGCATACATGAAAGAAGAAAGCAAGATACCTGTTAGATTTATATTCATTGCATACATATATAAAGCAAGCACAGCACGTAACTTGATTTTAAGTTAAATTTATATTTGTATGTAGGACATGGTACTACATGGAAAGATAGCAATGAAAGATATACTAAGAGACGGACGAGCAAATATACTTATAATTGAAGTAATAATAAAAATGTTATCTTATATAGGGGATAGATATTTAAACCGGAACGCACCATTAAGGGGAAGGAGAGTAATTACCAGAGAATAACCATTAAGAGAAAAAGCAAAACAATTACTTTTTATATTATATCCTACGCGCCGAACTTTGCTTGCCTAACAATCTGGAAAATTATATTATTGACTTGAAATATTGTTATTTGCTTGCAATATATATTGATATTTTCCTAAGGAAAATACAAGACAATAGTTGACCTCGAATGCTTCTATCATGTTACATGTTAAACTATAGAAAACAATTTCTCCCTTCTTTTCCTTATTGTTTTCTTGTTAGTTTTTCTTGACTTTTACAACTTTTAAGGTTTTTGTATTAAGAGACTTTAAATTATGTAAATTCATGTAAGATCCTTAACCATACCATATCGTCTAGAGAAGTTATTATATGTGTGTAAATAAACCAGCATACTATAAAGTCTTATTTAGCAGTCGACAATCAAGCGTACACCATACCTAACAAATACAAGTAAGTGTGACACTCAACTCAGACGACACTTGGCAATAATGTCTATTAACGTTTACGAAGGCAAGCAACAAGTTAAGACTGTTCGACAAGAACGTGGGTATGCACTTTTTTGTTTTTTTTTTGTTTTTTTTTTTTTGTTTTCATTTCTTCCTTTTTTATAGTCACTTAATTGTTTTATTTACCACAAATCGTAAATGGACATTTACGTACAATTCACGACTATAACATGGGTAAGCGGTTTTAAGAAAAAAAAAAAAAACAAAACATGTAGGGTTTAATAATACTTAGCAAAATCGCAAGTTTCCTTCAACGTGGATTTATTCACATACTTCACACATAACAATTTCGTATAGTTTATGCTTAACACCCACGAATAAAAAAAATATAAAAAAAAGAAGGAAATTATTCGACCTCTGATTACAAACACACACAGGCATACGTACAAATGTAACAGTTGTTTATTATCAATTTAAAGGGAATAGTGTGTAAAGCTGGATAAGTGTTCCTGCTTTCTTTTTTTCCTTTTCTGCGTACCATTTATAGCCGCAATCCGTAGATGCTCGCGCTTAAAGTGTGCAACGGAAACTGTTGTTATATCTTTCAGAAGTGAATAAAGTAGGAGAATAATGAAGAGTGAACATAAAAGCCCCCCCCCCCACCCCCCATTAAAAATTGGAATACTAAATACTAAAAGCTTAGGCATTCTTCCGAAAGCTTTGAAGTATTCCAATAAGCTTTTGAAAGAAATAAACTTGTGGAAAAGACGTTAAATTACAAATCAGTTCAAAATTTTAAGTGCTCAAGTGCACGAAACGACTATTAAGGGCGGGCATAGACATCAGGTAAGGTAATGTTTGCCGGGATTGAATTGTGTTTTATGAGCTTTTTCTTCCATCTGCCTAGACGTATGATTCTATTGTCTACTGCCCACAATTAATTAGTTAAAATGCATAAAACTGATCGAGAGAAAGGATGTTCTTTTCCATCATGCTTTTATCTCCACAAGAACGGAGAGAGCTTTCATAAGAAATTGAAGGACATTCACTGTACAGTCCAAGCTCTCTTAACTCAACTGCCATTTGTTTAACCATCTGCTTTAAAGTTGAGTTCAATGGAGTGCCTGAGAAAACAACTTCGCTTTGTTCTTCGGCCAAAAATCCCAAGAGTTCTACATTGATATCATTATTGTTTTATCGAAAAAATTTTTAAAAGTTCATTAAACAAAATGCCAAAAATTTTTTGTTTAATTCCATTTTAAATGTAAGAAAGTGTCTTTGAATGTTATGTGAAAAAACAACTAGTTAAACAAGTTAAACTAAAAATTTAGTATAACAAAATACGTAAGAAGGAACCACGTAAACTGCATACACTGTTAAGTATTGCGAATAAGAGAGTCGAGCTGATTAAATATTTCTATCTATGCCTTCCATTCAATTTCTCAAGTTATCTACGAGATTTGGCGAAATCGGTTCATAGATTAAAATATATTCGGTTTAGGAAAAGGAAAATGCCTTTTAGTAACGTAATCTTAATACTTATCATGGAAAAGTGTATTTTGACGTCGTAGAAACTTGGTATTTCTTAAGATTACCTAACGTTATCCGCCCCTCGGTTATTGCAAAAAAAGAAAAAAATAATATTTAACTTTTTATAAAAATGCTTTAAAGTTTTTTTTTTTTATTATTTTTTTGATAAAATTTTGTCTTAAAAGTAAAAATAATATATTTTCTTTAAAGATATGTTTAATACTTAATAATAATAATAATAATAATAATAATAATAATGATAATAATGATAATATTCGTTTATATGTATGTAAAAGGTATTTTTCTAATCGCTAAGACAATTTTTTTACATTTTCATAATAAATAATAGAATTTTTTTTCATTAAAATCATGTATAAAAAAAAATTATGATATAATATGTATAAAAAACAAACATTCAAAAGCACAGACTGAAAATAAGTCCATCCCTTGCACGCAAATATTCACAACAATATATATATATATACAATAATAAGATGATATTTAAATTACTAAACAAAAAAAAAATTTTTTTTTTCTTTTTTTCATTCTCTTACAGAGCAGCAATGCGTTGCTTTAACTTTTCCAGTTCGTGCAATATTTCAGGAGGCAAATCCTTGCCGACTTGTGAATTGAAATATTTTCGTATATCTTCCACTTCTTGCATCCAGAAGTCTTTGGGTAGCGAGAATAATTCTTCCATATCTACCTTATCTGACATGCCTTTCAAATTCAATTCACCTTCGGCTGGTATCCGGCCAATAGCTGATTCCGCATAACATTCTTCTCCGTTGACACGACGCAAGATCCATTCAAGAACGCGTACATTCTCACCATAACCGGGCCACATAAATTTTCCATTTGTACCTTTACGGAACCAATTAACATGGAATATTTTTGGCACCTGGCCACGCGATTCCATGCTAAGCCAATGTTGTACATAATGACCAAAATTGTAGCCAAAGAAGGGACGCATAGCGAAAGAATCGTGCATAATAACTTTGCCTTTATGTTCGGCAGCAGCAGTAGCTTCACTGCGCATAGCAGCGCCCATAAACACACCGTGAGTCCAATTGCAAGCCTCATAGATTAAAGGTACACCGGCGGGTCGGCGACCTCCGAAAAGTATAGCGCTAATGGGTACACCAGCCGGATCTTCCCAAGCAGTATCAATCATGGGACACTGATTGGCTGGAGTACAAAATCGCGAATTAGGATGAGCGGCTGGCTTGCCGGACTCCTTGGTCCAGGGATTACCCAACCAATCGGTAATTTCCACACCATCTTCCAAACTGCTTTCCATACCCTCCCAGTAAACACCGCCATCAGATGTTAAAGCGACATTAGTGAAAATGGTATTCTCGAATACCGTTTTCATGGCTATCGGATTAGTTTCCATAGAAGTGCCCGGAGCAACACCAAAGAAACCATTTTCCAGGATTAATGGCCCGTAAAACACCATTCTTATCGAATTTCATCCAAGCAATATCATCACCCACGCATTCCACTTTGTAACCGGGCAAAGATGGATTTAACATTGCCAAGTTAGTCTTGCCACAGGCTGATGGAAAAGCGGCGGTAATGTACTTCTTATTACCTTTAGGATCGGTGATACCCAAAATCAGCATATGCTCGGCTAACCAGCCCTCCCGTTTAGCAATCGTGCTGCCAATACGAAGAGCAAAACATTTTTTGCCCAGCAATGAGTTACCGCCATAACCGGAGCCATAGGAAACAATCAGATTGTCCGCAGGTTTATGCAAAATAATAGTACGTTCCGGATCGCAGGGCCAAGAAGAGCGTTCAATGACACCATCAGCAGGTGTGCCAACGGAATGCAAAGCCCGTACAAATTCCTCTTTCTTTTGCAATTGATCCAAAACAACCGAACCCATACGCGTCATAATCCGCATAGAGGCTACTACGTAAGGAGAATCAGTGATTTCTATGCCAATTTTCGAAAGTGGAGAACCAACTGGACCCATGCTAAAAGGTACCACATACATAGTACGGCCTTTCATGCAGCCAGGGAAACGATCTTGTATAGCTTTTTCCATGTCAGCCACCGAAATCCAATTACCCAAAGTGCCCTTAACACCTTCTTGAGGAGTAGGTATAGCTTCCTCTTTCTTTTCGGTACAAATGAATGTTTTTGATTCTACGCGAGCCACATCTGACGGATTAGTGCGAGCTAACCAACAATTTTCGTATTTGGGCAGAGGCATAATGGTGCCCTTCTCTACCATTAATTTTAAAAGCATTTTATTTTCCATTTCCGAGCCATCGCAAATGTGAACTTGATCCGGTTGGCAAAGAGCAACGGCTTCTTCAACAAAGGCTTTAACGCCTGATGTTAAACGATTAACCGAACCATAGGAAACATTAGTGCCCCGTATATGGACATACAAGCCGCAATTGTCTTCCTTAGCTTTGTTTGGCAACAACAAAGAACCATTAGAGCTAAAATAGAAGGAAAAGCAATAAAAATTAATTAAGAGGCAAAAAAAAATAAAACATGTGAAAATTAATTACAATAGCAAAAGGGGGAACAAAGAGTTCAGGAAGAGCTTTGATCACATCTAAATTACTTACATAAGTTTGCTTTGTTCAATGAGTTCTGGCATTATGATGTGGTATTTATTTTATTTGTCGTATATGATTTTAAAAAAAAAAATATTTTAAGCAAAATTTGTTAATAGAGGTCGAATCGATTTTTCACGCTTTTCTTTTCTGTTCCCTCTAAACGAAATCACAATTTACTTATCACGAATGTTTTCCTTTAGTTTTCTTTTTTATTTTTCTTCGCTTGTAAATTTTCACTTTTCCTTTTTTTTTACTAGAATTTGCTAATATTTTCACTTTTAAATGCAAGTTCTATCAGAGTTTCACGTTGCTTTTCTATTATTATTTTTTTTATTTTTTATTTTTATTTATTTATAATATATAGACCTCTGAAGCTCTCACTTGATCTTAACATTTACTCGCAACTCGAGTAACTGATGGCATACCCACAATATTTCTGAGCTTATATACCCCAGGCCAGCTACTGACGCAATGTCTTAGTTGCCAGACAACGTAAACGCCGCTCACATATATTTATATATATAGACTCTCTCGCAGATAATGGAAACAACTCGTAGTTTCGCTTTTGTCGTTAAACGCAAACGTTACGTTATCTTTTTTACTCTATCAGCTCCACCGATCATCAACTGTAATTGTTGTTACTAATCGCATACATCATAGAGGATATGTTTGTATGTAAATGTGGCAAAAAAAAAAAAAAAAAAAAAAAAAAAATACAATATAATAATAATAATGTGGTTCACTTTGGATTTCTCTGTGTTTATAAATAAACAGTGAGCGTACAACAATCAAGTGGATATAACATATGTAGAGGGTCAAAATTCATTCTCTGATTGGCTGGTTTATGGGGGCCCGTCTTCACATGCAGGAGAAAACTAAAGAAAAAGAAAAACAAACAAACAACATTTGTCCATTTCATTAGCGTTTATTTTGAATTTAGCTTTATCAGCGACACTAGTTGTCGCTGCGTACGCTACACTACAAATACATACCTATAATAAGTATGTTTTGTTTAGACTTGTTTTTTTTTTGTTGGTTTTTGTTGGTTTTTGTTTTTGCTTTGCTCTGCTTCATATTTACTTGTTCAGCAACTCAATAATCGAGCATTTTGGCAAGCAAAGCAAGTGTGAAATATGTGTCTGGTTGAGCAAGTTGCGACTACGTGGTTTCTCTATTAAAATTGATATTTTTCTTTCAATTTTTTAAAAGGTTTTTACAAGAAACGTACATTTTTTTTCCATCTTTTTTTTTTTGTGTTTTTTTTTCTTTTTTTTTTTTTTGTTCATTGTATCTTTAAAGAATTCTTGCTTAACTGGTCTTTGTTGGCATTGCAGCGATATTTGTTACTTTTGCATAATTCTTCCGTTAAGGTAAAGAATATTAAAGTTAATAAAACTGCATTTACAAGCAAACACCTTCACATATATATATACATATATTTATATAATACAAAGATAGTATTTCAAGATTATAATAGTAGCAGCTTTTATTATTATTATCATTATAAGAGTCGGGGAAGGCAGATATACTAGTTATACCATTCAGTGAAGGTTGATTATGTTTTGTTTCTGCTATTTTTTGTGTAACCTCCCAGAGATTGTACAAATGCAGTGATCACTTTAAAGCCAAAACTCGGGTTTGATGTGTCCGTCTGCCTGTCTCTCTACTTTTAGTTGAAAACTTGTCAATCTTATTAGCACTTATTAGTACAGAAAAGTGAAATTTGACTTATAACTTGAAGGTATGTAAATCAAGTTTGAATGGTCCTAGCACATGCTTATAATAGCGAAGGCACTGAAACTTGTTCAAAAAGAAGCGCAAACAATTCTATATAAAGTCAAGGATTTGGTACTAAATAAAACGTGGATCGGCAAAGCAAAGAGACCTTGCCGCTGAAATATCGTTTTAATTGAAATATTCAATGCGTCTCTCTCTATAATGCATTTACTCTCAGTGCGTTCCTCGTCCTTCGAAGATTTTTCATTAGAAATCTACATATTTGTCCTGCCTTAGCTCAGTCGCAATAGTCAAAGAAGTTATCCATGGCCATCAGATCGACTAATAGAAGAGATACAATCGTATTCAAAAATACTCTTTTTCAAGATGAGAGTAAACAAGCATATCTTGTTAACTATTGCAGACATTCGCATATAATTTAACGCATATGTCAGTTGAATGTCAGTTAGTGCACTATCAAGCTAAGAAAATATAACCAAACAGTACTTGTTTAAATAATCCAACGAGATTTAAATGGTAATGGTTTACTACTGGAATGGAATGAAATAATATTTCCATGCGATTTATCATTTAATATATATATATGTATATATATGTTATATGTAAAATTTAAATGCAGAGTGATATGTCTCTTTGTTTTTTCCTGTTCCTCAGGCATCCTTTGAATTATAAAAATTCTCAATAAAAACTTGGATAAATTTCTCGATGTACATCTTTTCGTTCATCTATTGTTAAAAGAAAACAACAAAGCAACAACAATTGAAATAAAAAACAGAAAGCTGTCAATGAAATTGTTTTTATTATTTTTATCTTCCACTCACGTTAAGAAAATGAAGTTGATCGCCCCATAAATTTGCCTACAATTACGAAAAAGCTTAAATCATTTTAAAGAAAGCAATAAATTTCGTAAACTATGATTATATTATATAAAAATATATTTTAATATGGGGAAATATAAAGATTTATAATATGACATAAATATTTGTGGAACTCTTTACGGTTTAAAAAAAAGCGTGATGCCCTTTGGTTCACTGACAAAGGTTACGTTTTGATTTGCTCATTAAGCTCTCTTTAAGTACAGTTAGATTCGCGCTAGGTCTCATTAAAATGTGGTCCAAACAGCTACAAAAGGCTATACATGTGCTTAGCTAGACCATGTGCTTGAGTGCGCCTCCGTTAAGTGGTCTTCCGTCTATAGGTGTTATGCAAATTCAGTTGAATCCGTTCAAAAGCAATTCTTGCTGATTGCAATTGGGAATTTGGTTTGGGCTCCGCTTGAGTCTCCACCGCCTTATCGTCACTTGAGAAACGTTGTTGGTGTAAGCTAATTAGCGATTGGCCCACATTACTAATCGCTCCTCTAGGCATTTTGTCTTCATTAAGCTTAGTCAATGCAAATATAATTATGAGCTGTTTAATCCGTTCAGAGGTGTTTGCATTTAATCTTAATATCGGACTCTTTAAAGTCTATCATAACAACTGTGCTTAATGCCCACGATCTGTCTATATCGTATTTAAACTAACTTGCAATCTTAACCTCCCACTATGATTAGAAAACTAACTGATGTTGCTTATTGTTATCGGTTGCCAAGCTGTTGCATGCTTACAATGGCTTAGGGATTCATTTGCAACTTGGATCTGTACTAGTTGTGGGTGCGCCTCTATGCTAATTGTGTACAAGTTTTTTTCTTTCTTTATATATATATTATTATTTAATTATTTGTTTATTTTTTTTCTGTTTACTTCTCCTCCTATACTTTATTCCAGTTAATAATAATGATTAGTAAAAGATTTACTTGTAGGAGTCAATTGAATTCGGTTGTTGATTTAATTTAGTTGAGGTTTATATGAAACCAAACAAATAGATAAGCTAATCTTTTAAGTCTGCTACATTATCTTGTCTCAAAAAGAGAAGAAAATCTCACTTAGTAGCATATTGACAATACGACCTTCTCTGATGCTTTTACTTTTCGTAGCCTTCATTACTTGTGGTACAAGTTATAAAGTGTTTGGGCAGATGTATGAAACTTCAAGACGGATTCGAGATATACTTAGCTTTTACCACACCGATCGATTCAGATCTCATCTAAGCTGTCTGTCCGTGTGTCCACGAAATATTTGTCCATTTTTGTGTTCAAGCTAGAAGTGGTAATTTTTCAAATTTTCGATCGATTCACAATGACTTTCTCATCTGAGCTGTCTGTCCGTGTGTCCATCATATGTCTGTTCATTCTTATGTTCAGGCTAAAAATGGTAATTTTTCAAATTTTCGATCGATTCAGAATGACTTTCTTCTTATCTAAACTGTCCGTCCGTGTGTCCACGAAATATCTGTCCATTCTTATGGCTCTCAGGCTAGAGGTGGTAATTTTTGAAATATCTTGGTGCAATATGGTACGCCAACGTGTTCTGGCCAAGGACGAAAGCTTCCGAATATGGTTTGGATCGGACAGCTTTTCAAACATTACTCCTATAACATCTTATTTTGAAAAGTCTTCATATGTACATTATATTGCTATTTTTACTCTTTCCATTTTTATTTTATTTTTTTTTTTTTTTTTCTTTCTTTCAGCATTAATGGTACGGAAAGCTTGCCCACTACCTAAGCGAAAGTATTTATAAATTATTAAAAAATTTTAAATGGATGTCTATATTAAAATTTATAAGGTATCCTATAACAACATATATATAGTAACATATCCGAAGTTAGGCCAGCTGGGTTATGTGGGCTAGAGCACTTCACTTAATATTAACGATTTATTTTACGATCTGAATTAAAGTATTTTTGTGTAAAATGTGTTTTTTTTTTTTCCATCATTAGTTATTAATCGGAACAATACTTTTGCGCACGTATTCCAAGCTATTAATTGTTTTCAATAAACTTACAAAACTGATAGAATTTTTCCATTTCTTTCAAATTACATGTCTATATATTATATTGTATTATATATATTGTATATAAAAAAGTATTTAATTTTTATTACTTAGTTTTGTTTTGCGTAATAGTAGGAAATTTATTAAGAATTCGAAAATTTACTGCGACAACGCTCTCTTCCCTATTTCCTAAAAAATGACATCAAATGACGACAAACTTGTATTCATATTGTTCGAATTAAGTGGAACACATGCAATTAATCATTTTACATTTCATTTATATATGTATGTATATATTTATGTATTGTATAGTTTTCACATGGAAAAATAATTTTCGCAAGAAAAATTGACTCAAAAAGGTCTTATGATGATTATTGTTCAATATGTTTCTTTTAGGTGCGAAGGTTTCTCAACTTCTACGTTTATCACGTGCATTCTATTGCTGTTAATGTGAGGAAATCTTCGCCATGTAAATATAAAAATGATTTTTTTTAAATATCGTTCTTTCTTTACTTTTTTCCTTCGCACACAATTCATGTATACCCTACATCGTTTGCAACGCAAAATATATTCAACTTGTGTGGATGCATATAACATCCAGAAGACTTAAGATAGACTAACTTTTTACTTTACCGATCAATTCAGAAAATGATTTAAGTTTGTCTGTCCGTCTGTCCGACTTTCTGACGATGGTCAGAAGTCGGACAAACCAAGAAATAGAAAATGGATTCCATCGAACCATTTTACAATCATTTCTCAAATTTATAATTTTTAAAATTTGTCGGAAAAACT